TAACACTAAGTATGTAAGCTGCACATGATAGTTCCAATAGTATTCTCTTAAAGCATGGTGACATCAAACAAGAGAAGTCACACAATTAATCACAATGGGTTTTCTACAGTTCTAGTTCCCTTATGCTTCTTCAATCTTTAATAAACTAGAAACATCAAATAACTTAAAACAGTATCACATTTATAAACACTCAATTTTGGCAAAAGAAATATTTATGAGAAAGGAAATAGTTTTTCCCATATTCCTCACCTATTTCTTTTTATATTACCAATGATACAGCCTACCACAAAGTTGTGAGAGAACACAAGGCAAGAAAAATTTTTATTCTGAGAATGACCTCTACAGATCTGAAACAAGTCCCCCAAAGTCAGCGGTTACTAAATTTTTATATGCCTTAGAAAGACTGAGCCTACATCTGCTGAAAGGGACACTGAGGAATTCAAGAATGCCGATCTCACAATAATGCATTTATTTCGTCAATACATATACTCCACCTTTCACCATCACAAACCAGTGGAGTACTTGCCCTAAACAAGCATTGTTCTGTTTCTGGCAGGATCACTGGTAGAATGCTTAGCTATGCTTCATCTGTGCTATGAAGAAATGTGAAATAAAAAAGTAATTTGATCATAAAAGGGGGAGGGGTGGGAAATTCACAGAATGCTTCCGCTGCAAGGACATCCTCCCAATGCAAATTTTTAAAGATTAAATGCCACAGAATGCATTTCAAAATTGCATGGAACAAGCTTCACATTGATTTGTTTGGAGTTTTTTTTAAACACTGTGGCAAGGGAAAAACTATAAAATCAAAACTTCCTTGTGGATATCTGAAAACCAGCTGACATCAGAGAATTACCCTCACCTCCTCTGAAAAACAAGCTATCAACAACATACAAAATTTAATAAGCAATCTATTGGTTGTCCTTTAAAGGTCAGTGCACTTGTCCAATACTTTTCCTGTAACACACTTACATAACCTTATTTTCTTTCTGCTATCTTTCTGTAATTCAGAAGACTGTTTAGATTCCCATATGGTTGCCATCAAATAGAGCAGATGCCAAGCAAATTAAAACACAAGTTATGACTCGTAATATGCTGATGTATCATAATTGCAGCATAGCTCATAACTTAGAGTGAATCACCAGCTAAAGCAAAAGTTTCTGAGGTGTCAGTGCTTTTCATACATCTTTTCAGTTAGATCAGGGTCAGTGGAATCAAGTGTGGATTGGAATTTAGATCTTAATACATCCACTGTTTCCATCAAATATAAAAAAAGCACAGAGAACAATTAAAAACATATCTTGGAACTAAAAGTCAGCCTAAAATTGTCTTCCCAAAGTAAGGGGGAAAGAGGGGGAAATAGTTCTTTTGTGAAGCACGGCAACATACTTTGACCTTTTGCACCATACCTTTGACATCATTCTACATGGAAGCCGAAAGGGGAAGGGGGCGTTGTTTGTTTGCTTGCTTGGAGTACAGAAAAGTGTTCTCTGTTACCTCAGATTACAGCTTTATGCTTTACTGAGACAAGAGCAGGAAGGCTCATGAAAAAGCAGTGTCTACTGCAGCAGCTGCCAGCCAGGAAAGGTGCACACACAGCATGTGGTGCTTTAGCACTGGCAGAATGGAAGCAGAGCTAAAGCACAGGTGTGTGCCCCAGTGCAAAACCGGCAGCACAGCAAAGGGAAACACTACACTGACCTCAGCTTTAGACTTAGATGCATTTGTGCCTATTAGTTCCCTGCTCCTAAATATTACTTCAGTGACTGCCCAATCAGTCAAATCAGAAAGGAGCTTTCTTCATCCACAACAGCATAGCAGTCTCATAAAATAACCTTTTCTGAACAAACGTTTCCAGAGTATTTACCAACTTTAACACTGAATTGCCAAAAGAAATTAAGCCTGCAAATATATCTAGAACATTAATTATGCACAGACTCAGCAGATAATGTTGTCTTCTACAACAGAATGAAACACATATTTAGGCAAGAATACATTACCTGGGGTGGTGCAAGCCTGAGAACTACCTCCTAAAAAGCTTACTGTCACTCACCTTTAGTCACAACTACATACACAACATTGGAGTGCAACTTTCCCATATTCATTATCCTAATAATTCTGCTGTGGTTATTAAGGCGTTAAATACCTGACCAGCACAAAACAAAAAAGACAATAAGGTTTGGCCGGTTTTCTTGCCCCTATTCTGTATTTAAAGCCTCAATTTTTTTGTAATAACTCCAGTTTAAGTAGCAAGTATAATCATTCCCTGCATAATTTCAGCAGATCTATAATATTCCTCTATTCAAAGCACTGACAATTTTCTTGTCAAAATCATTACTCTTCCAACTCAGTTCTCTTTATTTTTAGTCCATTGTTTTATGATGCAGAATAGAGGTATTTTTTTTGTTTACATTAATGTTTTAAAAGATTGTGTTAAAACCACTATATAATAATGCTCAGATAGAAGGCCTTACAAGGTATGTTCCCTGTTTGCAAGATCCTGTAAAGTGTCATGGGGTTAATATGACAACCTCTTCATCATTTCAATCTATTTACAATGACTACATTAGTGGCTATTTTTGATTATCACTTTCTGTAAACAAGCAACTGAATTTGCAATTTTCATTTACAGCTTTTCTGGCCCAGTTATTGAAGAGTTCGCTATTACATCAGTAAAAACAACATTAACATGTATTCAACAAGAGCATCTGCCTTTGTTTTCACTCCCAATCATGAGAGACATGGTAATAAATGCAGGCTTTCTCTTAAAGAGATTACAATATTCTAAAGAAATGACTAAACTCTCAAAGTGCTTGGTCTTCATGAATTTCAAAAAGTTTAGCCAGGACCACAAATGAGACAGTTAGTGCTTTGCAAAAGAGGAAATCTGCAAGTAAGGGCCTCACATCAAGTAAGTGGCAGAGTGGGCAATACACAACTCTATTTTTTCGGGCTTTCAGATCAGCATTCAAGCAGTGTAAAGGCTTTGGCCCATTTAGCTACAACACAGGCACACCTGTCATCCTGCAGAAGTTACACTGCATCAGCCTCAGGAACACAGGAGTAAGAAAAAGACTAGTTACAGAAAACCTAAAACATAACCACTTCCCTGCTTGCACCGTCCACACATTCACCTCCAGAGAATAAAATGAAGGAAATTACAGGATATACAGCTTCTGAGACACTGGCAGTGTCTGAAAGAGTGAGTTAAATGGTTATATATATTCCACCATAATATCCCCCCCTAAATCCAAGGACACAGCACACAAGTGTTCCTCACACTACTTGCTCCCTACTGAAAAATATCCATGTTCACAGCAACATATGCCCAGCAAAATCAAAACAAAGAAAGAGACAAGGGCGAAGAACCATAGCAAACTCAACCACCAAAAACTGAGCCAAGAGTTCAATCACAACAGTTCTGTAGGGTCAGAATACTACAAAGCTTGCTACCGTTCATCTACAGGGGTCGATCTGGGGCCAAGTAAACACTGACATAAAGCCACAGTCAGCTTCACTCTGGCAGCATATCTTCTTGTTTAAGAAAAGGTAATACAGTATAAAACTGGACTTAACCAAAATTCCCATCCTTTCAAAACATCTTTTTCAGACATGTTTATTTTCCAGGAACACTGACCTGAGGTTAGCTATGGATACCTGCTATCCGTGAATCCCGAAGTTCTATCCGTGAATCCTCTGTTCTCCCCAAGGGAACAATCAGAAACTCAGCACTTCTCAAAAGGTTTCTCTCCTCTGTTCTTTCCTACCTTCATCCATAACCTTCAAGGTGGTGTTTGGGGCTTTTTTACCCCAATTCTCCTTTCTAGTCCAAACAAGCCACTATACCGGGTATGTATTTAACTTGCTTCCAAAGGCCCTCAAAATCACATCCACACTACCTGGGTTTGATCCGGAGCTGGACTCGATGATCCTGGTGGGTCCTTCCAACTCAGAATATTCTGTGAAACTGGGTTCGTGCATATTTCTCACTACTCTGTGGAATACCTCATATAAAAAGGGGAACTTTTAGATGTAAGAGCCTTCACCTGACCGTAGCATTCTGTGCAGAGAGAAGACCTCATCACTCACACATGTATGAGAATGCTCGGCCCCCCCTAACCTCCCCCGTGGTTATGAAATTTGGCATGAATATCCAAAAACAGTCGCTTCTCTTTCAAATCCAGCACATTGAGAAGATGCTAGAAGTACTGTTACAGGAAGGTTACGTTTCACTGTACAGTTCTGCCTACTCCACAGCCGGTGGGGAATGGTGCAACAAGATACTGTGCAGGCAGATCAAGCAGCACTGCCAGGAATCCCAACAAATGCCCAAACAGGCTTCCCACGGGCTTGCACTTTAGGGACGGGTGGCAATACCGTTTCCCCCCTCCTCCATCCTATTATTGCTACTACTACTATGCATTAACAGCTAATCATAATAAACCTGTGCCATACATAACTTCATCACTGTGAAATCATTAAACAGCACTGTTCAGAGAACCTGAGCTGTGGTTCTTTCTATTATTTGCATCTAACAGGGATGACAGCATGAAAACATGCAGATCAATTCGTTCTCCAGGCCTGGGTGCCTGGTTGCTCCCTTCCTCTCTCACCACAAAGCAGAGGTGGGGGAAGGAAGGAGGGAAGAGGAAAAAAGGAAAAGACGGGGAGTGGGGAAGAAGGCACGAAATCTGCTTCATACTAACAACAAAAGCAATTAGGAGGGCCGGAAGGGAAGAGAACCGGCACCCTCGGGAGGTGGAGGAATGCAGCACCACAACTTGCCCGGGGAAGGGCTGACCGGGGCGGTCGGGTCGGAGGCGGCGGCACCTCTGGCCTCGCACCCGCACTTCATCAAAAATCCCCCCGCGGCCTCATACCGGGCTGTCACACGTCCCTGTCGCTCCTGGCCGTGCCCAGCCCGGGAGCAGCGGCGGCCGGGGAGGGGGGGAGGAGGAGGAGGAGGAAGCAGAGGAAGACACGAAAGCGGCCCCACTTACCCAGAAAATGACATTGAAGCCGAAGATAAAATATTTGATGCAACAACTGACTTCAGGCCCCTTGTAGTGCTTTCCGGACATCCTCTGCGCTCATGAAGACGCTTTGCTCGCAGCCAGGGTGAGAACCAAAGGTGGGGGGGCGGGAGGGAAGGAGAATTTAAAAAAAAAAAAACAAAAACAAAAACAAACAAAAAGAAGGAAGACTAGGAGGATGGGTCTGGGAAGAATAGAAGGACGGTGGCGGCAAGACTATGAGGAGGGGTCCGGGGGCGGCGAGGCGGGCAGAGCTCAGGGCCGGCTCCGCGCCGCGGGGAGATGCGGCAGGAGCGGCGCGGCGGCGGGTCGGCTCCGACTTGCCGGGCGCCGGGGATGGCCGGCGAGCAGCTCCCACCTCCTCCTCCTCCTCCTCTTCTCCCGCATGGAGGAGGCCCCGGCTGCTCGCAGCGGGAGGCAGGAGAGAAAGACAAGGAGCGGGGCGGCCGCCGGGTAAGGCGCCGCCAGGGCAGGATCGGCCCGGGCAGAGGCCGGAGCCGCGCGCCCCCTCAGCGCCAAGGGCCGCCGCGCTCGCCCCGCCCCGCCCCGCGGCGTGATTGGCACCGCTCCCCGCCAATCCGACCGCGCGGGAGCCGCCGGCGAGGGGGCGGGGCGGGAGCGGCCCTGAGGCTCCGCCCGGGCCGGGCGTGCCAGGCTGAGGGGCTCCAGCGCGCCGTCCCTTCAGCCTGCTGTCTCTCCGTCCGGCTGTCCGTCCCTCTCCTCCGGCGGCCCGCGGTGACACACGCCGGAGAACGCTGAGACAGCGAGGACTGTCCCTGCCTGGCACGGAGAATACCGCTCCGCAGCGGGAGAGCTGCCAGGAGGGCAGCACCGGTTCTAGGCTGGCTGCGGTAATGAGGAGGAGCAAGACCGTAATTGCACCGTGCAGGTTGTTCTCAATGGGCGCCGTCAGATCGCCTCCCACATGATCTCGTATGCGCCATACGCGCAGGAACACATGAAGAACCATTTTACAATGATTGCTAGGGTTTATATTTTAACAAACCCCGAGTTTATGTTGAACCTGTCAGCTATAAAGTTTGTGGCTTAGCTGTATTCGTATGCTGTTTGGGATTCAGAGTGGCATACAGATGGTCTGGCATTAACAGCATAATTAATAGGTTTTCTTTGTGGAAGGATGTCGTCATTTCAGTGGATCAAGGCTTTCTGGTCCAGCTCTAAGAGAGAGGCTGGAGGAAAGGAGGCATAAGGGTGACTGTCACTCTCTGCAACTCCCTGAAAGGATGTTGTGCCAGGTGAGACAGGATGAGGGGAAATGGCCTCAAGATGTGCCAGGGGAGGTTTAGGTTGGATATTCCTTCACAGAAAGGGTTGTTAAACATTGGAATGGGCTGCCCAGGGAGGTGGTGGAGTCAAAGCCCCCAGAGGTGTTTAAGGAAAGACTGTATGTGGCACTTAGTGCCATGATCTGGTTGACAAGGTTGGGATTGATTAAAGTTCGACTCATTCTTGGAGGTCTTTTTCCAACCTAATCGATTCTGTGTTTATATGATTCCGCAAGTATAACTTATGATTCAATAGATGGAAGATTTCTTTATAATAAAATGCATTTCCCATCTCTACAGGATTGCAAGGTAACACACTTCAGAAGCATGACACTGGTAGAACTACAGAAGGCAGTCTTGATGCAAGATCACATCATATCAGTTATGGGGCCTTGTTGTGAGTCTTTTTTGAGAGCAAAGAGAAATATTTGTCTGTCGCATCTGGTCGACGATGAGAAGAAAAAGCAAAATGTGCTGAAATGGATCCATGAACATAAGCGATGTTTTTGGTAAATGAGAAATTAATGCAACACATACACTTTAACCATGACTGTAGAGTTTATCACAAGAATGTCATCCCTGTGTCTGTTATTAACACTGTCTTTGCAAGACTGTCCATGAGAGGAGGGTAGAAAAGGGTGAAAAATTAGTAAAGTAAATGTTCTGTAGCAGTGGATAAAGGCACGTCACTTACAGTAGGGTATAGTAATAATGTATTATATTAAGGTGCTGTTTTTAGAAATGGCTTCAAATATTGGTGACAACCTGTACAAACATTTATAATATTACTGTCATAATATTCTCCTAACATCATGTATTGGTACCCTTTAGCATTTTAATTGTTCACAGGCAGGAGCAAAATACTATAGAGTAATATTTATTATGACAAATCCAGTAACAATATCAGATGTTTTACCTATCAATCCATTAATTCCCAACAACTCAAAAAGAAATGCAACCTACATCATTTATAGCATCATATTACATCAGTTCACTTGCTTTCCCAGTTGAGCGTAGTGTTATGATTGCCAAGCGTCCTTTTAGAGCCAAAAGCGTTTCACATAGTCCAATCATCTGATCAGCTTCAGGATGTCTGGTTTTAAGTGCTAGATTGCACACTTGAAGAGGGCATTGAACCCTGCTCTTTTTAATTCACTTTGTGTCTAATAAGCAAGCAGATAGCAAAGGCAGCAGAACAGCTTTGGTGTAGGTAATTGATCTTTCAGAATGCCAGCTGTAGCAGAGCCTTCTGCACCTGCAGCAGCCTCTCTGCTTTGCAAACACATTTTGCCTCCTGTCTTAAACAAACAGGAATTTTTTAAAAAAAATCCCCATCCTTCAGCTTTGTGCCGTCTCTTGTGGATTGCTCCTTACATGCTTTGGCCACCTAGGCCTGGAAGCTGAGCAAGATGACTGTGACAGCACTTTAAATTCACTGTTAGTTACCAGTCAACACTGAATTCCACTGTGATGTTTTGGCACAAAAGCCTGAGGCAATACTAAGCAAGAGCAATATTACCTTTTCTTGCAGAAGGGCAAGACAGTTATTCAAATTCCATCAGTTCATAATTCATCTGACAAGGCACAGGAGTACTAATGGGCGGCATTTCAATGACAAAGCTGGTTCTAGCAGCACAGCTCTTTGTAACACCAGGAATGCTTTGATCTGCTACTGACATTGAGAAAAAGTCCCATCTGAATGACTAAATCTACTTCCCCATCTCTAAGATGAAGATATAAATGGACTTCTTCTGACTAAAGATTGGCCAACTCTAATATTAATGTGTGGCAAGTTTGAGAAGTTCGTATCTTAAAAGAGGTATAGTTGCGGACTCTGAAATTCTTACTTCCCACCAAGTAAAGAGTCCTCAACCCAATTCCTCAAATCAATCATTCCTTAGATCCAGTATCTCTGTCTTTGTGTCAGCTCCTGTTTTTTGATCTATGAATTCTTTGACATTTTCCAGGGAAAAAGAAATGCAAGCAGGAGTGACTCGAGAAGAGAAGTGGCAGAGCAGCACAGTGAAGGCCGTAGTCGTGGGAGTTATCCCATTGCCAATCTCACCTCGTGCCACGTGCACTGAGATAAAGAGCTGTGGTCTAAGAAAAGTTCAGTCTGTATCTATAAGTCTAGTTATTTCCTAGACACTCCATTTCAGTGGGAATTCATAGGATAGCAATCTTTTTGCATGGGGAAACTAGAGCTTTCTGACAGAAAAGATTTATAGCATCAGAGGTATTACCTACCTCAGAATATTTTAAAATCTAAATAATATACTAGCTCATAATGTCATTTGTGTTCATTTTCTAGTTTTGCAACCATAAAAACACTTTGTTTTCTGCTTAGCAAAAGTGTTGAGTGCTGATCAGGGGACATTGTTTAGGTTTAGAAAGAATTCTGAGATAAGAATTTCATAGAGCTAAACTCAAGCAGTGATGCAAGTTGTACTGGCCTTGGTGGAAGTACATGCTCTGCCCCAGATACAAACATGACTTCAGCTTCCCTCAAGAATAACAAGTGCAAGTACTGACTAATTACTGTTATGGGTAACAGTGGTGATTATTGAGCTGCTTTTTCATATGGAACTTAGCTCTCAATACTGGCTAATAACATCATCTCGCAGGACCAACCCAACATCATTATAATGTGATAACAATGTTGTTAGTATGACTCACAAAGCATGAAGCGTGTCTATACATCTACAGGGTTAGAGGCCAGAAACTGAAGCTAAGGCATACCAAATAACAACCAACAACTAGTTTGCATCGTGTCTGATTTTATTTTCTCAAGACAATGTGTATCTGAACCTTTATTTCCCTTTGTGTCAGGCACCTCAAGCTGCTGCCTCTGCTCCTTCCTTGAGAGGAAGGGGTGGGAGGGGTGGCACGCTTCCTGCCCACGGCTCTGCGGGCAGGGGCAAAGGAGCGGCCGGGGCTGGGGCTGTACCACGGTGCTGCTTGGGGCGAACATCACAAACAACACAGCTCTGTTTCTGTAGTGGGTGCTGTGCCTCAGCAAGCCCCTATAGTGGAGTTTTTTATAGAGCTCTTATCAGGGATTATCCCCTGACAAGTCAGTACAACACTGAAGCAGGAAAAGTGTAACATACCTGCTCCATAGCTCACTGTCACGCAGTGGCTGCAGGTGTGGTTCCAAGCACTCATACAACCAAACTCCAAAGGATATTAATTATCAGGTGGTCCTTACAACCATTTTATGGACATGACGGTGACAGGGTTTAATGAGATGAAACATATGCATTATTCCACAAAAAAGACACACAGATTTGCAGTCCTAAATTAGGGATAACTGCAGTTAGTGTGGGTAGTCACCTCCCCTTCCACTAGTGTTGCTACTGGACCATGGTCATTAAAAGGGATATAAACTTAGACTCCAGTAAGTGCCAAATTTATCTTTCTCACTTTCTACTGCTAAAAGCACTGGACAAACTCTGCAAATTTGGAAGCTTCTCACTTCCCAAACATGGATTATTGCTTCAGGTGTGTACCCGAAAGTTCAGGTATAATTCTTGACAAATTATTGATCGAGATAATAATAATAATAATCATAATCATATATAATAATGCTTGTCCAAGAGGACAATCGGTATTTATCCTATAACAGAACACCATATGATCTTCTTAAGGTCCATTAGGTTTTTCAAGGCCCTCTGAGTTGCTTTCAGTCGTTCTTTGTCATACAAGACACACTCAACTCAGAGTTTTAACTTACAGCATTTGCTCTGTAATACCACTCAGGAGAGTGACTATTTCCTCTGAGTCTGTTTTTAATGGTGGTAAGATTTTCTGCAAATCCACCATTCTAAGTAATCTCTATGAGAATGTTTCCTTTCAAGGGTTTCCTTTATTCAGGCTTAAACCATGTGAGCTGCTTCCAACCTCTCCTGTGAAATTTTTGTTTCTCCTGAGAGCCTTGGTCAGAATTTACTGCAAGAACAATCCCTCAGGAATCATTCT